CCATGCGCCCAGGGGGGGCCTCCCCCTGCGGCTGTGATGCTGTCCAGAGAGTCCTCCAAGGGTGCTGCACAGGTAAGGGGGGGTTCCTCTGGCCAGTCTTACTGCCTCTGTGTGGGGTGACATACAGCCGCCAACCCAATCCCGCCTCCAGAACATTCCACAGAATTCGAAAGGGAGGGAAAAGAGGGGCAGTGCTCGTGCACCAGAGACCGTTGCTGGTGGTGAGAGGTCCCAGGTGGTCCCAGCCCTTAGGAATTCTCATGGCCTGGCCCGCCTCGGAGCCTCTCCGAAGGCCACAGCAAAGTAGAACGACAAGGGAAAGCCGGTCTCAGCACTTAGCGAAGCAGCATTATTCCCTTGCTGCTGTCAAAGGCACAGCCACGGGGCTGGGTTCAAAAGCTGGCAACGTTTCTGCTTCGCTTTTGCCCACCTTTCCACACTGCCCTAAGGTTTCAAACCAAAGCCGGGGGCAGGGGGACCAGACAACAGGAGACGGGCCAAGCAAGGGCGCCGGGAGTCATATCAAAAAAGAGGGCAACGCGAAAGGAAAGGAGGCCGGCTGGGCAAAACCGACTGAGCTGAAAGCAGCAGGAAAATGGCCAGGTTGCCAGGCTGAGGGACATCTGACCATCGCTCAAGTCCTGGTGTCTTGCACCAGTTTGTTGTTTCGGACTAACATCCAGTGACGGAAGCGTTTGTGTCATATGGCTGGAGTAAACTCGCAGTACAACCTGCCTGTCTGAGTTAGCAACCCTAATCTGATTTATTCACGGATTGACATATCACGGAAACATGTTTGCTGCTGTTCATAGACAATTGCCAATGTTAGGCCATCGATTTCCTCCTCCCTTCTGGAAGCAAAAGCCCCTCTCAAAGGCACGTGTCTCTCCCCCCCCTTCACTCTCAGTTGTGTAACCAAAGCTCTTCCTCTTGTGCCTAGCAGCATCGGACAGCAATGCCCATTACACCTTCCACAATTGTGATGTCCATCTTGGTAAAGAACAAACACTTTGTGTCTTCACATACTGACACGATTGTGCCAGGACCATCCAAGAAATGCAGAGATGCAAACCTTACGGAGGGATCCTATCTGTCATTCTGACTAACACACCTCATCTCAAAAGTAACAAAAAGTGACAACAATGGGGGGGGG